TGAACACTGGAATTCGACGAAGAAAAACCATCACTAAGTAGTACTAGTGGTATATTTTTATTCCGCTGTGATTTTTCGTGCTCTATATGTTTTAAGGCCTTCACAAAAAGAACATAAAAATATTTTGCCAAATCGAATTATCTAGTAGTAAAATTGTGCTTCATTATGAAACATATACGATATTTATAACTGCTTCTAACAAGAATAACACGTCTTAAAATACGAACAGTTAACTAACTCGTAATGAAAACAAATGCCGATTGTCGAAAATTAAATCATGACGACAGACTTATTTGATCAATTGATTTCTTTCAATCGTCAAATACATCAAAACGCTAAGTTGCAATTCCAAAGTTCAGGCGTTTCCGTTCCAAACTTCAAAGTAATGGTTCTATATAAGATGTGGATTGTTCTTTAATTGTATATAGACATAAAGAACTCCACACAATAACTTCTGACTTTAAAATCTTTTACATAGAATGCTATAGTCCTTTATTCTGTTTAAATGTTCTAGAACTACTTAAATATCTGTGTTTCATTCTAAATTGTAAAATAGTAGTAATAAATTTCATTGTAAAATAGTGGACTGCCTAAGCAGGACAGAGATAGGAAATCAAGAATCGAGCTGGTCTCACTCTAATTTCCTGCTGCTCTGATACCCCTGAGATAAATATCTATCTTTGGAAAAAAATAAATTAAGGCAATCACATAACAACATTGTTGTATTCAATAATTAATAATTAGTTTATAGTTTACTGGCTGAATTTCAAATGCCCATTGCGGTAATTCCATAACATTTTAACATATTATTCAAGTCAATTTTCATTAACAGAATATTATTGAGGTACATAATATAGAATCTAGCATTTCATATTTGTATTTGCCTTAATAACAACGTCGTCAAGACGGTCTGTTGTGTCTTTAAAGCAGGATTCTGACTAATTGGAGCTGTTATAACTATAAGTAAATGATAATTATTATTAATCATTATTGTTTTACATCTTAATAATATAAAAATAGGTATCTCAAGTTATAAACTGAAATACAATTATATAAAATGTTACTAAGATCAGGTAGAACCGCAGACAAATACTAGGTACAGTATAAATATATACAAAGAGGTACCAGGCAATCATAAACTCTGAGAAGTATATCATTTCACATTCGTGGATCACGTGCATCGTGTCGCCAGCGGCGTCCACTCAATGTGTTAACCGATCGCTTCGTGATCAGAAATCGAAAGCGATACGTAATAACTATGTGAGCTATATGGTCAAATGTATTACCGATGCCAAGTTGGCGGTTAGAAGAAAGCCACGTTTTTCCATGTATATATTATTTTTTGATAGATATGGTCATCTGAAATTAGATTATGAAACACTTTCTATAAGCCAAAACCACACTGTGGAATAATCTTCTTTCTATTTAAAGCTTTTCGTATATGTTGCAAGGCCATATAAGCTACTTAGTTTTGAGCTCGCCATAAGATACTAGACGTTCGCTGAATTTTCTTTCGCGTTTGTGGTCACTGCTCTGCTTCTAAAATTGGTGGCGTGACGTTACTTAGCCTATTTCCTTCTATAATAAAAACTATATCTTTAAAAAAAAGTTTTTTTCGAATATTATTTAGTTCCTTTTTTATTTATTTACACATCATGCACATTTGGTGCATTGGCGGACTTAATGCCTAAGGCATTCTCTAAAAGTCAACTATTGGGTGATGCAGAGGAAACAGGAAGTGGGTGAACTTTAGTTACAGTCGATTTATACATTTAATATTGTATGTATACTTTGTTCAAAATCATATAATATATACACATATACAAATCTGTCATATACTACACCTATACTTATTAACATTACACATACGTACATACATAATATTACTATTAGTTTAAATAAAATAAAGAGTTCAGCTTACATATATGTTATAGGTGTTAATAAATATGGAGAATAATTCTGCTACACCTAAACTTGTTTTCATTTTGTATTATATAAGTATGCTCTTTTTATTGTCCCTTTTCTAATTCGATAAGAAGCTTGTATAGTTGAGTTACAATTTAAAGAGGCTGTGTTTAGATATAGCAAAGAATAAAAGTTCTCATAAAAAGCATGACAAAAATAGTCAAAGCGTAAATTTATCGATAATATCTTTCTTATCACTACTAACAAAGGAACCAAATTTATCTATCATTTTAGCAAATATTATTCGACCTTTTACAATTATCTATGTCGTCTCAGAGCAAACATGGGTATTTCGTGCGACCAAGATAAGATTAAAACCATTTTAGCGTTCTAAATCAATTTTACTACTCGATGTTATGTGAATTTGGGGTGGACTGATGTCTTTCAAAAAACCTCTAAAAACAAGGCGACACAAATTTACAATCATAAAATTTACAATCGGGAAGATAGATTTGAGAATAATTAGATACATATGATAACAATATCGGCTAACATTACTTTATTTTCGGGAAGATTAATACGTAATGGGTTAACAAACATCAAAAATCAAATACAACAAAGTGCACCTAACCACAAAAAATTATTACTATTAATATTTTTCACCGACTCCAAAGGAGGACTCTTAGGAGGCTTTTAAGAAACTAAGTCTAAGTAATAACCTAAAATTTACAAGATACATTTAACGTTAACATGATCATAGTCATCGACAGCCTTTAATAGTCCACTGCTAGACATAGGCCTCTCTTTAATATGATATTGTACTAATAAAAATATATACAAATTAACACAAGAAAATAAAGCACTAATTTAAATTTAGAAATAGGTACTGGTAAGCAAATGGAAGTAAATTTTACTTTTAAGTGTAATATTTCATAGCCGTTTTTCTGGAGTCAGAATTTTTTTAATATTTTATATTCTATATAGAACTAAAACAATTCACTGGTCATAAATCAATCATGTTGCCATAACCCTTACTTGTTAAGTACATATTACATATTTTGATTGCATCTTATCGCCACTTTAAAATTACAAATCTCAAAACAGACAAACTACAAAGTTGTTAGAACGTGACGGCTCGTTGATCTGTAATAAGGCTGTCGTGATACTGATCACCTGCCAAATATGAATGAAATATCAAAGAGCACTATGAGCTGGAGGCGGGTGATTGACTTAGACTTTGTATAAGTTGCAGACTGAATGATTTATTTATTAAATTCAATTGTATCACTTAAATTTTTAAAGTGAAAACTTTTTTATGCGTGTTGGGCATTTTTGAACAACAAACAAAAGGATGTATTTTATGGGAAAAAACCATTGAACTCGCGACACTGTTACCGTTACTGACACCCCTGTTGCAGTGAAAACTTCTTTAGGCGCGTTGGGAATTTTTTGAGATGTGAAAAAGCAATTGAACTGTTACCGTTACCAACACCTTTGTATAAAAGTCTTCACTTCAGAAGTGAAGTGCCGTTGGGCATGTTTGAACAACAAACAAAAGAATCTATTTTATGAGACAGGAAAAAACCATTGGACTCGCGACACTGTTACCGACACCTCTGTATATAAGTATCTACGTATACACGAGCGTTCAGTTTGGGTTAAAATACATTAATATATAACTATATATTGACTGCACAGATGGCGTAGTGGTTTAAGCGGTCGCCACGCCGCTTCCTATTACGTCGAGTGTTGTGGGTTCAAACCCCACACGGGACAACACTTTGTGTGATCCACAAATTGTTGTTCTGAGTCTGGGTGTCCTTTGTGTCCGTTTCATGTATGTTTGTAAAGTCCCCCGCAACACAGGATTTATTCCTAGTGCGGGAGTTGTCTTTTTTAAAAAGAAAAAGAAACTATATATATATATATACGCAGACGAGTGAGCAGACGGGTCACCTGATGGTAACTGACTACCGTCGCCTTTGGATACCTGCAACTCAAGTCTCACAAGTGTTATGTTGCTGTTTGGGTCCCTCCCCGTAGAATCAGGTTTAGGACCCCGGTGACCTCACTGCGGTGCCACTCCGGTCGGGCCGCCCCCTTTGTCTCTCTTACAGAAGCAAAAGGCTTTTATCTCTTTAGAACAACTCTTTGAACTACTCTTTTCGTGTATACCGTGTTACGCAAAATTAAAGAAATTGGTCAGCAATCATTACTGCCATGCTGGCGGTTGAGGAGGGCTGGGGTGCATTAGTCTCTTTCTGTGAAGCTGTAATAGGCTGTTTACACGCATGGCGAGCCTCCACAAGTGTCCTCGCGTGTACTCGTCGTCGATCGGTACAAGTGTCGGTTTTTAACACAGATCAAAGGAAGCTCGCCGCAAGCATTTGCGACGTATTTACATGTTAGCGCGTGCTTGTTCCCTACTGCTTAATTTGATATTACAAGTATTGTAGTTGAGCAGTCGGGAATTAACATTAAGTCTCAGTGCTCTACTGATTGAGCAGTTTAGTTGAGCAGTAGAGCTAGAGAATTTATTTTTTTAGTTTAGTTCCGCCGTTTATATTTTGATTAAAATATGACCACGTCTGCTATGTTTGCCTGTCCGGAATACAATAACACAGTCACAAGCATGTAAATGGCATCCAAGCGTTTGTAAAGAGTTGGAGCACGTAGACGTTTGCCAAGGCTCGGCACGCATGTACACTAGGCATCAGACAGGCATAGGCATGAGACCGCTGAACAGGATCGGGAGAGGGACTCTAAGGGCAACAACGCACTTGTGACTTTTGAGTTGCAGGTGTCCATGGGCGGCGGTAGTTGCTTACCATTAGGTGACCCGTATGCTCATCTGCCCCCTTTAAAAATGTCTCACCACCGTCGCATCGTTAATCAGTCGGCAACTTCTATGAAAGAATTATAATCAAAAACTATAATATATATGGTAATTACGATTCTATGTACCTAATGATTTAGAAAAGTAACAAAAATATTAGAGTACCAAACTAAATAATTCGAAAAGGTCCAACTATTTGTAGCATTACACAAATCCTTAAAAAATAAGATTATTAGGTTGATAGTTATGTCAATGGTTTTTAAAGACTTACCTTAAACGGTGGCGGTTCCGGCTGAGAAGACAGCTCTGTCCAAGGCCTAAGCAAGGCCCTTTCAGTATCAGCTCCTACCGCAGCAAAACTAACACCATATCTCCTCCAAATAGCCAATTCGTATAACTTTTTCCAAGGAATGCCATCATTCTTGGGAGTCTTCTTCTTAATACTTCCTCGAAAAGACGACGTTCTAACTAATGGTTCTGTTGGCTTGCCATTTTTGCTAGCACCTCTCCATGGAGGCTTGGTACCATTGGTCTTACCATTGCTAACGGTACTTCCAGAAGACTTTTGACGTTGCAGACTAGGTTTACTTTGCGTTGGGGTTTTTCTCTTCTCATCAAAAAGCACAGCGTTTGCCAGATCCTCATCATTATTCGAATAGTCTGATTTCACTTCTTCGATAGTAACAACTCCTGATTTCCTTTCCCTATAACTCAATCTGAGTGGAGTTCGGCTTAAAGCTTGTTTAGCTCTCTCGCCATCTACTTCATCTTGCATTGCGGATATAACGCTGTCATCAGCGTATCTCATTCGAGCAGTCTTCATTAAAGACGCTTTGGTACATTGAGAGAATAAGCGTTCGCACGCATCTGTCGACTTGTTGTGGTCTCTAGACTTAAATGTGTTCTCCGAATCAGTGTCACTGTGACCTTCGTAAGAACTGGTGCTATTACTGAAGCTTTTCGTAAGAATTCCATCATTATTTTTGACGGCATTGTGATTATTCTTATCGGATTCTTTGATTTCAATAATATATTCATTGCGGAAGGATTTCCGCGATTGTATACTAGTATTTGAATCAGATTTTGCAAGAGGATTTTGTTTGTGATCTACGCATCCATGAGCGTGGGCCTTTCCAGTGCAATGTTTGTGGATTTTTGCCAAAGCGGCTAATGTTTTATTTCCGTTAGGTGACACATCATCGCCGCAGCGCAGCGACTGCTCAAAAGACCCTTGCACGTGAAACATGGTTCACTGACTCTACACAACAGTCTCACTAATTTGTATCGATTTTGACATTTTATAGGGTTAAAGTTCTGTAGAGCGGATCATATCGAATGTCACTACACAATAAGAGCATTTATTAAAGTTATGGATTTAGCAGTGTAGATCGGCGTGATAAAATCGGTCTTGGAGTATGCCATGGAGCATGATCATAACGAATCGTGAGTAGAAAACCGTGTTTAGTAATAATGTAGTAAATATTTTAACAAAAGAAATTTAACTCTGGTATTTAAGACGATAATACGTTTGGAAATATTAGATTATTAAAACACAACTTAGTTTTGGCATAGTACTTTGTCGTGCGTATACATAGTTTTGACGTATTTATGTATTGCAAACCACGACGTATATCGTGTAATTTTCACGCCTTCATTTCTTTGTAATATATTCAATACAAAAAGATATGACAACTTATTAGCACTACTTTATTAAATACTGATATAATTTCGAATGTATCTAAGTTTGAAGAGTAATAATAATTTTTGTAATCCCGTAAATCTCGCAAGTCTTGAGCAGTGTCATAGGTTAGGCGCATTAAGCCTAAACACATGACGTATGGGCTCTTAACAATCTTTTTTAGTATATTAGCACTTGATGAAAGGATCCGCTTTATTAAAGCTTTTAATAAGATTACCGCTATAAATCGCTTTATGCACTTTTTTTTCAACACATAAGAAGTGTTTTATGTTTATAACATTTGATATAAAAAGTCACAATTCAAAAACTAAGTTAACCTTTTCGGGATCGGGAGAGGGACGATCCCGAGCGTAAAAGACGTCTACGGCGATATCAGCAGCCGACGGGGCCCCGGGGCTGCCAGAGACCTTTTGTGGCAGATTAGGAGCACTGGTCGGGGTGGGGTTTTAGTGGAAACACCAATACTCCTGACTCCTGCGTCCTCAAGGAGTAGGAATTCCGAAAGGATTTTCCAAAAAAAAATTTAGTAATTTTGCCAATAATTTGGCAAAATAACTAAATATTTTTGTCTTATTTAAATTTATATATTATATAAATAAATCTAGATTTACTACTGTTAAACATCCGAAATTCGTCTATTGCTACATAATACATAATTGTACTAAGTGCATTATGTAAGATTAAAGTTGAAATATCTTTAATCAACATCAATATCGTGATAAACATGAAGAAATGGGTGTGGCACCTTTCAATAAAAATATTCACGGCACATAGGGTTCTGGTTACACTGGTTCACTAACTATTCTCGTACAGAATATTCAAGTGAACCACTCGAGTTTGGGCTCATTGGTTTTGTTTAACAAGGAGTGACTACACTACTATTTGATTCAAATCTTTGATTTAAATATTATCATTTCATTTGCGTATTTACATATTGAAATTAATAATAATTAGTTATGTTATTAAGTAATACCTTATTAAATGTCTGATGTTTCGATCACTTAAGTCTCCGTTCAAAAAAAAAAAACTATTTCAACGGTATATTTGTGCAGAGGACGAACAATGTAAAGATGGATGGACAGTGTAAAAAATTGAGTAAGCAGTAATCTCACTAGTTATAGAGTTCAAATTAACTTGGGAAACATAAGTATGATCGCATTGCTAAAAGACGAAACGGTGTGAACTTATTCTAAAACTTTTAAGGAGGAAAGTAAAAGGATTTATCGAGGGCAATATATTAATTTAGGTGCAGATTTATGATATTTTATACAAGTGTATAACATTACTCAGACAGGTGTTACGAATGAATATGGGTGTAAAACATTGGCACTGATGATTAATGTAGGTATTAGGTAGGATTAACCAGTGTCTATCTTCGAAAATAAGATAGCTTTTGATACTAAAAACACCGTGGGATAGTCCGCACAAATGTGTAGGCTCGACCGGAGTGTTACCACGGCCTCACAGAAAACCGGTGTTAAACAATTCTTTCGTAGCTTTTTATCGAGTGAGTTAGGTCACCGTAGGCTAAATTCCTCCTCTTCCCATGACTCTGTAGGGAAGGAGTCAAAGGGCGGCAACATCGTCGTCAACAACAACGTCCATACAATCCATACTGATACTATAAATGCGAAAGTGTATCTGTCTGCCTGTTTCCTCTTCACGCTTAAACCGCTGAATCGATTTAGATGAAATTTGGTATAGAGATAGTCCGAGTCCCGGGAAATGACATAGGGTAGTTTTATCAAAGAAATCGTGCTTTAATGGGGTAAAAAAGGGGGGTGAAGTTTGTATGGGGAATCAATTAACGCTGAACCGAATCAGATGAAATTGGGTATTCAGATACTTTGATTGATTCACTTACGCGTTGCTAATCATACTTCCCTTTCCATGCATTCTTTATGGTGGAGGTGTAGCTATTGATGTAGTTCCGTTTCAAGCTGTAATCAGCTGTGACTTACTGCCTCACGTAACTCTTAGAAGGTATATCGTCAGTTCTTATTTAATCAATACTTGGACTTCTAAAGTAATGAAACGTGTGTAATTTGATTGGATAAAAATGACACAGAATAACACAGCGGCTATCAGCATCTTATTAATGCAGGAGCTTTTTGTAATTTTGGTTCTTCTATAAAAATTACATTACGTTTTACAGGAGCAACAACATGCATAATGTTAAGTGTTAAGTCTCAATAGGTTTCGTTAACTATACGATTTTAAGCTAACCTAATCATTATTAATATGCAAATTATAACTATAGACGGTCTATGGTTGAAATGATGAGGACGATTTAGCTTTAGCTTACAAAAACCATTCCTTCTGTATACAGAATGTGGTGTAAATGAGCGAAACTTAACACTGTTGCTTTCATAAAACCAGAAACATCTAAAATTTACATTTCGGCTATGCAATAAAACCTACACATGTTGTGACGTAATTCAATGTTCAAAATTATACACATTATCACCAATTTTTCTCATAGAAAGTAAAAGTAAAGTTTCATGTTTTATTGGCGATCAATATTTTTTTTTTATATTTTATATTATTCAATCTGTGACTTAGACCACCCACAGTATAATATCCATTCGTAAAGTTTGTTCAAAATGTGTAAGCATTGTTTTAAGTTCGAAATTTAAATTTTTGTGTTACCGTTAATAAGCAGAAGACTAACAGTCAAATTTCAAAGGTTTTGACATTCATAAATTATTTAAACTCAGAACAGGTCACCGTCGCTCAAAAACTACTAAAAAAAAGGAGCAGGTTGACAGACAGGCATGAAAAAGTATTGAACTGTATTGTCTATGCCTATTATATCGAGATAGAGAAGTCTTATCAGTAAATAAAACTGTGGCTTTGTCACTGTATGCACAATGCTGACGCAACAATCTACATACGATATGCGCAAATATTTTTCCGATATACAAATCACGTTATTAGCAACTAGGTGCACGGTTACAACTGCGAAATGAGGCATAATTTGTTTACAACTTGAAAGAGGCAGTAGAGCACAGCTGCCGCTCGAATGAGGTAGAACTTACGCCCTCCGTAAGACAATGGCTAATCAACAACATAAGCGCTATTGTTTCTAGATTTGACTATTAATATATTTTTTTTGGTTTGTTAACATAGGGTTCGAAGGACCTGTTTTGTTAAAATCTATCACGTTACGATACGATAAAAGAATTTTGGTAACTATGTTCTTTTTTTACACAAATGTAGTTATTGGTTTGTTTTTTTTTTATTTTTTTCTTTATTTACAATTAGATTTGAAAGACATCAATCAAGTTCTAATTGCTATTAAAATTCCTCATGGCAATAAATCAAGCTTTGCAAATATAATTAAGTAGAAGAGTGAAGAATAATCAAACACGTTTTAGACTTTTTCGAACTTAGATATTATTACACGGAAATAACCTTATGAACTCTGCGATGGAAGGGGGAATAACAAATCATATTATATTCATGCAGATGAAAGTCGAAATGTCATTAGTCTAAAAACTTAATGAACATAGGAGTAAAACCAAACTCCAACAAATATTAAACTCTCCGTTAATTCACTATCTCGTATCAATATTTAAACAAGTCGTACCTATATGCTAACACCATCGTGGGAACGAAGTCCACTTTCATTTTTTAAATCATATTAGCACATGCTTAAATAAAACTGGCTAGTTTTTAACTCGATATTTAACCTCTATACACATCCTGAACATCTTTTTTTATGTTATAGTGTTAAGTGCGTTGTCTGTTTTCGCAGTTGGACTCTGTCTTTTTTTGAAAATTTGAAGGTCGTATCGTGGCATGCGGGAAGAAAGCCTTTCAAAAACTGGCAACTCACTTGTGGCTCTGGTATCTATGGGTGGAGGTGGTCACTTAACATCAGGTGACCGATCTGCTCGTTTGACCCCTATATCATAAAAAATTAATATGTAAATTATACTTTGGGACATCTAACACACAACGCCATCTAGTTTCAAACTAAGCAGAGCTTGTACTGTGAAAGTTGGATTGGCTGATAGAATACTTGTATACTTTTTCTTAATACATACATATTATACATAGAAAACACCCAAACGCCGAAACAAATATTTGGAGATCATACAAACATTTGGTCCGACCCGGAAATCGAACCCGAGACCTCAGCGCAGCAGTCGCATACGCTACCACTGCACCACCGAGGCAGTAAACATTATCCATATTCTAAGCCTAGGTCTAAAACGGTACTTTATACTTTCACCAATTTATTTTATTTATTCACAAAAATGTTCCGGAGCAAAGCTGCGCCGGACTAATTAGATAGTTTTAATTGAAAAAGTTTATAAATTCGGTTTGATGAGAACGGCGTTTTATCAAGACTAACATGTTAATTATTCAAAATGGCTGCCAGCGGTATTGCAGGCTAATAGCCTTTTAATGTAATTAGTACTGTTAGTATAATATTAACGTTACATTTTTGTGAAAGTATTCAGAGAAGTGGGTGCCTGAAGGATGCTATCTGAACCGGTTGGATATCAGATAACGTTCCGATAGGTTAAAATGTAGTATTG